GTGAACCGCCCGCACGGGTCACGGGTCGGCCCGCGGTCCCGGTTTTCACGGGCCGATTTTTACGGGTCATGGCCGGCCCGTCCGTCTTGATACCTCTAGTTCAGTAGTGCTCCATATGTGGGACAATGTTAAAAAGCATTAACGTGCTAATAAGACTGAAAATAAAGCAAAATTCAGAACAAGCAATTTTTTTTGCCTTTTTTTAATATATATTTTGGCTTTCCCAATATACAAGTATATGCTCATCTTATTTTACATTGTTTTGCCTTTTCCGTCTTCTCTAATTAGATGTACTAAGAATTAAGGATGTCCAAATGGCTCGCCGGCTCGTAGCTTGAGACCACCGAGCCCTATTTTGGGGCATCAGCGGCGAGCCCGAGCCAGCCCATGGGCCCGTGTCACGGTCCATTTCAGCCCGTCCAACCGAGCTTTATTAAAAAAAAAAATTTAAAACATTAGATTTAGATTATGTCCGTATAAAATGTACAAATTTTAAATTCTTTAAAAAACTTTAGATTTATCACGAAAAAAGAAAGAGCCGACTCAGCTCGGGCCCGACTTGGCCCGCTGAGGCCTGAGCCAAAAGCTCAGGTCAAGCTTTCGTTTTTTGGCCAAGCTCTGACTCAGTCAAGCCCAAAAAAGCCCGAACCATTTTTTCTCGGGCTGGAGTTTCGACTCGTGGCTTGGCTCAACTCGACTCGTTGACACCCCTACTAAGAATAAACAAATGCCATCCTCTTATTTAATTTTTGATACACTTTATGTAAATAAAGTTGCATTTATTTTCCTTCTGTACTATCGCCACTATTTACAACTACAAGGATCAGCCGTATCACATGTTTTTATATGCAATATCTATATCACTTTATTTTAAATTTCATCTTTGTCATTGCTAACGTAATTCATAATCTTGAAAAATTTGTTGAGAAAAAACACTTGATAGGGTTTTTCCGGCCAGACTGCCTATAGGTGTGGCCAACGCAACACTTGATTGGCAATTTTTACTTTATTATTATTATTTTTTATTTTTATTTTTTTGTATCCTACTAATGAGAAATGGACAGTTGGCTACCTGTAGCCTGTGAAGCTTTCCCTGTACGTGTAAATGCAGCACCTGATTGGTAGTTTTTATATATATATATTTTATCCACCAATGAGAAATGGACAGTTGCCTACCAGTACAAGGCCTGTGAAACTTTCGCCAGACATGTAGCAAGACTATAACTTGTTTTTGAATTGTTATTTCATATACGATAACATATTTATTGATAAATGACAACCAATTTATTGTGAAGATTATGAGATTGAAAATTCCTTAACTTTTTATACTATTTCGACAAGTGTAATACAGTATATTAATTGCCTATTTGACATGGCTTTTAAAAAGCCAAAATCAGCTTTTGAAACCCAACAGTTGCTTTTGAACCCATTGACTAATTTTATGAAAATACTTCTAATAGTTAAAAGAATTCTTAGCATATTTATTAGATTTGATCCGAACATCAACCTGGTCGAACCGGCGAGTTAGTTGTTGGACCAACGGATCAATACTTCAAAATTTTAAAAAGTTTTTTAAAGTATAAAATTTTCTTTAAGATAAAATGAAAGTTTTTAAATTATGTTTTATTAATTATTTATATATTTCAAAGGTTCAAATCTTTTAAACACCAAAAATTTAAGGAAAACTTTTGAAATTCGGTCAAACCAATCAACCGGACCGGTTTAATATAAAAACAATTGGTTAACTCAATCAAACTTGATTTTTGATTGAGTAATTTGTATTTCTATCGAATTATTCTACCTGATCCGATAAAGGGCCCAAGTCGTTGATTTTCAGACCTGGTCGACAGTTCTGTGTCGAATTTTATAACTATGATTTTTAGAAGTAGTTGGTCCATTGTGACTTCCCTTTAAAACACTTTCAAAATGGAAAGTGCTTTTAAAAATTAGTTTTCAAAAAAAAATTAAAGTAGTTTCCTCCAAAATTCTTTTACAAAAAGCAAAAGTCATGCCAAACAAGCCTTAAGTTTCCTGTAATTTGAAAAGATTTGATTTGACTTTAGCAATGAAACAACAATTATACTTTTACCATATCATATTGTATAACTTTGTTAATAAAAAAATGGCCTTCAAAATTGAGGTATTCAGGAAATTCTTCTCAGAAAAAGAATTCCAGACCAAATCAAGCTAAATGCTAGAGAGACGCACTAGTTGTGTACTTACAAACATTGTATATTTTTTTACATTGATTAAAGATACAAATAAATACATTGAAAATATTATTGCGGGGAATCATATGTAATTATTTAAAAATGGAAACAATTAGTTCCAAAAATCTGTTTACATGTCAAAAATGATCGAATCAAATAGCTATAATTAGATGCCAACTATAGGGATAAGAGCACAGGAAAACAAAGCAAATGAGTAAAAAGAATAAAAAAAACTCCTAGAGGCAATGCTTATGTATATATACGGGTAATAAAATTAATTCGCTAAGTCAAGTCAGGCAATAATTTGATAACCTAAAATGTGAAGACGGGTTTCGAACCTGAGAAAGAAGATCTGGAATAAAAACCTTTAAATCAGCAAGAGACGAGTCACTTAACGTGCACAATTTCTCCTTTACACTCCAAAAGCTCTGACATAATACTCTATGCATAGAGTAGCTACAATGCTTTAGAAGGTCTATGTTGCTATTCTTTATAGTTCTCTCCATATTAAGGCATAACGGTCCTCCAGTGACCTTTTGTGAAAGAAACTTAAACTTCAGTGACCGTTTGTAAAAGTGCATGAAATTTCAGTGACCGTTCTTGCAAGTTTTGAACTTCAGTGACCGTTTTGTTATTTTTGCGTAAGTTCAGTGACCATTTGTGAAATTAACCCGTCCCAAAAATCTGTTTACATGTCAAAAATGATCGAATCAAATAGCTATAATTAGATGCCAACTATAGGGATAAGAGCACAGGAAAACAAAGCAAATGAGTAAAAAGAATTAAAAAAACTCCTAGAGGCAATGCTTATGTATATATACGGGTAATAAAATGAATTCGCTAAGTCAAGTCAGGCAATAATTTGATAACCTAAAATGTGAAGACGGGTTTCGAACCTGGGAAAGAAGATCTGGAATAAAAACCTTTAAATCAGCAAGAGACAAGTCACTTAACGTGCACAATTTCTCCTTTACACTCCAAAAGCTCTGACATAATACTCTATGCATAGAGTAGCTACAACGCTTTAGAAGGTCTATGTTCCTATTCTTTATAGTTCTCTCCATATCTTCTTTAATAACCTATCAAAAACTGATCATCAGTGCATGGAAGAAAATTCAAAAAGGACAACTTGCAGTAAAATTATCTACACATAAATCAACAGTAAAAAAAAAATACTAAAATGAAAATCTAGTAGCTTCGCTAAGAGTGAATCAATAAATTGATAATTATTTTCATAAAGATTTACATAAAATGTTATGTATTGGTTACCATGTGCCAACCATTACTTGATTAAATTTCTGAGTGTTAACTTTGCAGAAAAGACTTGTAAGGCTACTTTACTTGCAAATCTCTACTTCTACATGGCAGAGCTCAGATGAAACCAAACAACAAATTGAACGAGTATAATATGAAGAAAAAAAGAATAAAAATGGGGAAATCATGAAAAACAAAACCCATTAGGGCTACAACTGTACATCTTCTCAAAAGAAAAGCTAGTAATTTCTAAATATTCTCATAATGAAAACTCACCAACTTTTACATCTTTTACCATTATTATTCTATTTTTAACTCCAAAACAAGGATAACTTATAACTTTCTTATTTTGTTAAATTTAATTTTGATTTTATCTTCTATTTATCTCGATGGGCAATTGAAATGATAAATGCATTTCTTTCATTTGAAGCGAAGAGTCTTACATACCCTAAAGCAATCATCTTTTGGCAAAAATGATTTCGCAACTGTCAAAACTTCTAACAAGATGACTGGAATCTTATCAATTAAACCAAAAACCTTTATCGTCAACTTGTCATGCTGAAGAGAAATTGAAGTTTCTAGTTTTGCCGCATTGGCCTGCCATCAAAATAATTAGGTTACTTCGTGTGCAAATAAATAATAAGTGCACGGGGATCAGCATCAAGCGCATATGAAATTCAATAGCAACACAGAATCATTAAAGAGAGAAAGTGGCCTAATAGATAATTTCATTAAGCTCATCTTTCAGTAGTGGAGTAAATAATTGAGTCAACAAAGCATTCCTCAAACTACTATATCCTCTCTTTAATGTAATGCAGAATTCTACTTCAGCAAGGGGAAGTTTATGAATCTTGTTAAACAAATAGCACAACCGCATCATAGGTTCATCAAATATACATCTTGAAGATGATATCTCTGCAGACTCACAAGACTCCTTGTTAGCATATATGGAAAAATCGCATGGAAGGAACTCGTTCTTTGAGGGCAATTGTAATGAGGAATCAATTTTGGGAGGATCCTTCCATAATTTCATCAAAGCATGTGGAATGTCTTCCTCAACATATCGTGATCCAAACCATGGCTCAAGTTGAATATCTGGAACCATGCCAAAAAGGAGGATTGAAGGTCAATTTTGCTTTGAACTATTAACATTTAGTAGAGGTAAAGTAGATCACGAACCAAAAACAAGAAAGGAAATGACATGGAAACTTGAAAATATATTTTAATTTATTTGCATTTGGCAAATGAACTAAAATTAGTCATCGATCACTCATATCAGATTTGTGAGCTAGTTGGTCATCGCTGCTAATTCAACTAATAGGTCAATCAATTCAATCAGATAAAAAACATGTAGCAAGTCATTAACTAATATGAGTATTGCATAATTAGGCATTAAGAAAACTGTTTCACGAGGCACATCACTTATTAACCACCAATTTATGCAGCATAGTAGTTGCTGACCTTGAGCTTTGCAACTTTTTTCACCTGCTGCAAAAGTTCATTGGTAACATTATTCAGAAAGATCATGCATATTTTCACATTGATCCAAAAAAAATGCCAAACAGCAACAAACACATACTAGTGAAATATGATTCTTCCCATCTTAGCACTAAAGTCTGTGCTCACAAACTAGGGGAAGCTCGAGAACACTTATTTTCAAGGAAAATATTCAACTTAAAAATAATTTCTTAAGATCTAATGCATGAGGTTTTGTTCAATATTTCCATAATTAGCAGGGACATTTTCAGAAATTTTTAATTCGCTGCTTTTAAAGTTGCCTAATCCTAGAGTTACTAGCATGTGTTGATCGTTTCTTACAAGTTCAAGGAGTTTTAGAGTAGAATAACATTATTACCATAGTTTTCTAGGTTGAGGTTTTGTGCTATCTAGACCTAATTGGGATTTCAATCACACCATCACACCGTGAGTTGGGTTGTGTTCCTTCTTTACGAAATGAAACACATCTTCATAGAAGATTTCCATCAAATCTTTGTTAATTATGAATTCGTATTTGAAAATGAAACACACGAATACAAGATGACTGACAATAGCAAGGAATGAAAGCTGATGTAAGGAAAACTTACTAAGTGACTTTTTCCTTTTTCTTACTCCCCAGAAAAACTGTCTACTTAAGCTTGTTCCTTGACATGTAGGTCCTACGTCAAAAGGACACAAAGTCATAATATTGTCAGAAATCATGATTAAGTCAGCTTGTTCATATGTTTATTTAAGATGTCTTGTTCTATTGAATATAGTCTATTCTTTATAAATATTTCTGATTTTACAAGCAAATCAATTTAAATAATCAATCTTGAACACTCAATAGGGTTATGCTCATTGCTGAATTACAGTTTGGTACAGAAATTAGGTCTCATGCTTCTCAACCTTCCTAACAAGACAAGCATAATTCACCTTATTCCTGTAAGATGCATTTGACCTAAGGATGTTCGGCATACATGTAGTGAAAGATGATCAAACAAAAATATTGTTCCATCTCTATAGAAGATTTTCATCAAATCTTTGTTAGTTATGAACTCGTATTTGAAAATGAAACACATGAATCCACTATCACAAACAATAGCTAGGAATGAAAGCTGATACGAGAAAAACTTACTGAGTGATTTTTTTCTTTTTCTTTTGAAGCAAAAGCCAAAGGACTTGTCAAAAGACTTGGTTACAAGGTCAACTCTCATATTTCCAGGATTAAAGAAACCCAAAATATATTTTATCATCTCCTCATCCCAGCTTTCATACGCGTATTCCCCATAGACAACACGCTTTGGAGAATATACGTGTAGTTGTGTTGCAATGAAAAGTACTTGTCAATGAATACGGTTAAGTTGATACGTACAAAGACACTATCTAGGACCAAAAATTGACATGCAAAAAGATTTCGGTACTTATTTACCATTCCTTCCTACTCACATTTATTCTTCACACTTGACTTACTGGATTTGCAGAAAATAACTGACATGTGTTTCCCAATTGTAAATAAGTCTACCTCATTCTCCCCAAACTTCAATTTCAAATACATGGGACTTATTTCCTCATATATCATCTTATATTGAAAGACATCGTTTTTTTAGGTAGAAGCATTTTAGAGCTACCGTATGTTCAACACGGGTAACCAAAACAATGACTGGAAAAAATGTCATCTTGCCATACTTAACTATTAGGGACGATATAAATATACCAATCGAGAAAAACAAATGCAATTTGTAACAATTACAACTGAGGGATAATAAAATTAATAATATCCCATTGAGAAGCAGCTAAAAGAGATTGGCCAAAAAGGCAAGTTTTGCAGCATAATCAACCAGAGTTTCCTCCTTTGCAAGTACAAATTCCAACTTCCCAATATCTTGGAGTTCATTAAAAATCCATTCTTGTGGAGAAAGTAGGCGCAGTCGTTTGAGATATTGATAGACAAAGCCAATGATATCAAAGATCTGCATCGTCAGTAGCATGTGTTATGTCGTAACATGGATCAAAGATCTTGTGATTCAGCTTATTAGCGTACAAAGGGAAAGATACAGGTAATAGTGATAAATTTGCTTGGTATTAGCATAAAACATGGGACAATAAGTTCATGACTAGGCAATGAAGTCAAACAATTTGATGCCAAAAAATCCCATGGACCATAGTTAAAATATGAAACATGAAACCTCATCAATGTAATACTTTTCTAATCAGATTCACGGTGTTATTTTAAAATTGGAATCAATTCTGAACTCTTGCTAGTTGGCAACTTGATCAGATTTATTTTTTGAATTATGGATTCGTAATGACCCAGCTTCATTAGTGCATTCAAAATTGCATGCCTTGGAGTTTTAGCTAAGAGTTGAAATGGTGGAAGTTAGATGTAACTTTTCGTCTTTACCCTAAAATAAATAATCGCTAAGAATCCAAGAAAATCCTAAAAAAGTTCTTTAAAACGAGGGAATTTATCAAAACAAAATGTCTAGTTTTCGATAAAGTAGTCATTTATGGACATGCAAAAGAACCAAAAAGATTATTGAATCAGGGCAAAAGAAGTAAAACTTAAAATCTAGTCATGATTGTAGCCGTTCTTCAAGTCCCAAGCAAATGTAATATTGTGCAAGCTACTAAATTACCAAAAGAGCTAATTAGCAAGTGATATTAGATTTTTCCCAAACTTCTTGAACAAGAAAAGGAAAAGAATTACTTCTCCAAGCCAGAGTCGGTGAGGCGTATATCTATTTGAAAAATATAAGCAATTGAAGAGCAATACATGCCATCTTTAGCAAAAGCAGCAACACAGGATGATGCCCAGCCTCTAGCCTGTAATAGAAAAAACAAGCCCCCTTTACCCTCTGAAATCATGTTAGTTTCAATTCAAATAGGAGTAGAAGGTGTTGGCATAAGCATATACATACAAACTACACTAATAAGACCATAAATATCATATGCTTGTGTTAGCAGACACCTTTAAGCTGCAAAAAAATGAAAACATATTCCCATCATCCACCCAGATTTACCTTTACATGTACTTTTTGAACCACCCCAACAAATTTTTGTATTTCCCCAAGATCAACTCTTTTTGAACTGTTTCACTCCAATGTGACCCTTAAATCAATAAATCAATAAAATAGCATGACCTAAACGTGCAGCATATGGTCAATAGGCCTCATATTCTACTTCATGTAGCATGTGGACAAAAAAAGAACATTTTAAGTGTCGTTCAGTTCATCTACTATGTCTACTCTGTACAGTCTAAGGCAAGGTCATTTCCTTTGAAAGGTAGCACAAATAAATGCTAAAACAATAGAAGAAAATGACAAAATGAGACAAAATAATGGGGATCTGCTATGAATAGTCATGAATGCAAATAAATACAAGATAGTGAAACCTTATCACATTCGAATCTCTCTGGTACTCTATAATATGTGTTTTTAACTTGGATTGCATTAATTGCAAATCTAATAAATCCTCTCCCATCTAAATCTCGCCAATTCCCTATAAATTGCATCTTACTATAGATTGTATTCAACTGCAGTCAACATATATCGAATGCAAATTTTAGTTCAATCGGAGTAAAATAGAGAAGAGAAAGACTGACAAATTAGTGTAAACAAATATGAAGACACAAAATACTGTCTAAATAAGTTTGGCCTCTTGTCTGCACTCACAACTTATTGATAAATACTATTTCCATCTAAGACGAAAGATGATTTCTGCCATGGATAAACTCAACAACATTAGCAATATGTTTTCTATGAAAAATATTTAGACCATCAACAGAGGCACCTCATAAGTACTTTACCTATTATAGAGACTTTAGGATCAAACTATCCAGTTCTACACTTACCTTCATTGATTTCCAAATCAGTACGAAATCCAGAACAAGTTCCTCACAACATATGTAGCTGCTAGCACTCCAATACGATTTGCAATAGAAGTAAAAGTCCATGAAATTTTATTGAGCTTGTTAGACCAAAATGCCCAGTGTTTAAATTCTTTCTGGAGAGGCATAAACAAGAAAGCTACTCATATGAATGAAGGTAACTAAAAATTTAATAAGACTGAAAATAGAGAGCAAAAATAGGATGCAAAACATAATAAGAGAAGAACCAGAAGCATGGATTGTATTTCATAATTCTAGTAAGTGCTTGAAATGCATTGAAGAGTGTCTATACTGCTCTTATACACAAATTGTTTTGAATCACTTGTCCCACTAAATCTATGAAATTATGTGCTTCATTCCGCCACAGCATAGATTCCAAATCGGGGAGAAAGCAGTGCCACAAGCCAAGTGAATCAAACACAACTACACCAATACCAGCTGCCGAAGCACAATAAATATATCTTTCTTTCAATGTGAAACGTTCTATCATTTCCTTAAAGACAGAAATGACCAACCAATGAAAGAACTTTTAACAGCAGAAAACCATCTTACCATGTCCAAGGAGATAAGAAATGTACTCTTCAGCTTTCGTTAGATAATATTCTTGCACGGAAGGTAATGTCCATGACAAATTAAGCGAATGAACATCTTTAACTGCCTTTAATTTATAGATTTTGCCAACTTTCCAAATAGGACCATCTAAACATGTATCTGGCTTAACCAGAGAGCCTTTCTTGACACCGCCGAATAATTCAAGGACTCAACCTTCTAGGATATCAAGAGACTCTAGAGATATCAGGAGTTAACAGTTAAGATAACAAGAAAGAATGACAAAAGGCAGTCTTCTGTTTCTATTTATATCTCATTAAGTATACCAGGGGAAAAAGAAAAACAAAAGAAAAAATCACATAAGGAGAACACAGATTCCTTTTACACTAATCAAGAATAATGACAGGGAATACTCCCTTGTATCATCAAGAATGTATAATCCTAGCCAGATTAGTTGACAGTGTTTTGTCCTTGACATGTGTTAAATTGTAATCCTTAATAGGAGCCAATAATTTTAAAAGTTACAAAATAAAAAATTATTACTTATAATAAACCGCAAACTATCTACAACGTCCATAATAAAGCATTTCAATGTTGGCACTGAGCTAGAAGATGCTTACTTCCCACGTACCATATCTGCTTCTTTTACAGGATACAAGTTCCATGTGGACCTTCTCCATCTACACAGCACTGGTAGAGCAATGCCAAGAATTGGGAAATATAGGAAATAGAATTGGTCATGTAGCACATAGAATATCGAAGGGAGTTAATTATATTCAAGAAAGCTCCAATAAGATCTTCAATTAAGCTCTTGTTTGGGCTCCATTAATCAAAAAATACATTTTTCTCTTTCTTATTTTTAACAATACATTCTCCAATAAAATAATATTACACACACAAAGCTTTTCCTCATTTTTTTAACCACACATTTCTCAAAAAAATTACTATTCCAAAACATATTTTTCCTCAAAATGCATTTTTAATGGAGCACAAACAGGGGCTAATATTTATAATGGAATAATATATGATCGATGATTCTATTAAAGTGAAATAAGGGATCTATACGTAAGAATAGGCAACAAAGTAGAATATTATAAATGTCTAAACAAATGAAACAACATACCAACTAGTCAAGATTTTGTCTTGCTTTAACTTTAGAAGAAAAGAATCCAGATAAGAAAAAAATCGAAAACATATAGACTACACTGAGCCCCCATTTGGTGGAGCTAATAATTCAAAAAGACTAATTAAATTTTTGGGATGTGTGGTTGAAAATAGAGTAAAA